TGATATATAGATACATTAAATTTAACTGTTAGTAAAGTAAAACTTATAAACTTATTTTTAGCTAGTTCACTAGTTGAATTATCCTGAAAGACAAATTTAAAAAATATATTTTGCACTCCATATTAAGAAACCAACAATGTAGTCAAAGTACTTTAGTCTATGTGCTTGAGAAAAGCGCCCCAATTCAATCAAATGAGTTTAAATTGTGTAATTGAGTCATATTATTTATAAATTACTCAAAATTATTGATTGATGAGTGTTTGGATCTTGAGTAGTTTATGTAACAAATGAAGTTGAGTTCTAGTATTTTATTACTTAGCTCAACTTGAGTAATTCACAATGTAATCAATTTTTTAATTTTTTTTTATAAATATATCAAAATCAATTATAAAATTATATATTATAATTGAGATTCCATACAAAATTTTATTATTATATATATATTTTTTGAATGTTACTAGCTCTATTACATTGTAGTATCTATTCATATACTTTCTCAACCTCTTGAAACACAAAGAGCCAATAACGCCCGAAACACAAAGAGCCAATAACGCCTCCATTGAGGCTCGAACTCACAACCTTATGGTAATTTTATTATTAGACCCCATAGTCCTGGTAATTTTATTATTATATTTGATTATAAGAAAATATACTTTCTGATCACAAGGTGCTTCATACAACAAATGTAATTTAATTAGCATTACTTTAAAAGAGAGAGAGAGAGAGAGAGAGAGATCAATAAATTAATCAAATTTGTAGTTGGTACGTAATTAAGGGTCCGTTTGGAAACCAGTAAAATGACTTCTGAAAAATGAGTCATTTTCTAGAAAACATTTTCATTTCTGGTGTTTGGCTACACAACGAAAAATTGACTTTGTGTGTTTGGTTCATTTTTCAAAAAATGAGAAAGGAAAATGAAAAGAATTGAATACTTCAAAATTTTACTCCGTAATTGTTTAATACTTTTGATAAGATCCTTCTGTAAATAGCACTCTTTATATATATATATATATATATTAAATTTTTAAATATAAAAAAGTTAATATTATTTGTAGACTTTACTTATTTTTTTTTTAAATTTTGATTTTTTAAAGAAAAGCCTACGGACCGGCCCACGAGGACCGTCAACCCGTATGGAGCGGGCTATGGTAACATGAAACCTAGCTTGCGGGCCCGTCAACCCGTATGGGGCGGCCTATGGTAACATGAAACCTAGCTTGCGGGTTTAGTGGGCCGACTCGTAAAAGCTCGCAAAAAACTAGGCTCGAAAAATTTTACATGCACATCCCTTGGAAAATGACTTCCCCCAAAAAAAATGGGAAGTCATTTTCCCCCAAAACTTATCTATTTTCTTTTGACTAAAACATTATTTTCCATTGACCTTATTTTTTCCCCATCTTGTCAAATACTGAAAACTCGAAAAATATTTTTTAGAAGTCATTTTCCGGGTTTCCAAACGCACCCTAAATTAAAAATAATAATATTAATAGACAAAAAAACACAAAAAAAAAAAAAAATACAGGAAGAGTTGCGTATTCAAAATATGTTTATTTGCTTGTAGAAACGGAGAAAAAGGGGGTGTATGTGGGGAATCCAAATTAAACACGAACAACATCAGAGCTGGAAGTGGGACCAAGAACAAAATTTGTGGCAGAGATTGAGATTATAATTTCTGATTAAATACACGCAGTATAGTTAAGAAATGTAATTAGGTTGGAAGGTGGTGGATTAATAGGAAAAACAAAGAAAAAAAAGTCCAATGATGGATACGTGGCGTGACAGGAAGAACCTAAACCGGGGCCGGTCCAAGTGAAAGTACGACAGACAGTGAGACAGTGAGGAAATTAATGTGAGGGAGGATTAAATGAGAAAGGCGCTGTCAAGATTGGCTAATGTGGTCGTGGTTGGTGTCACCCTGTCCAGTTGTGTGATAATTATGTGCTAATATTGACAAACAATCTCTCTGTTGAATCATTGAGTCACCGTGATTTACATTCTCCTAAATGCTCTATCGGGCCGGGGTGTGGAGGGTCTTTCGGGTTGGAAATTCAACCTTTTGGGAGAAGAATAGTGTTTGGTTTGGTTGGATAATCATAGTCAAGTTTACCAAACTATTGATTTGATAATAACAAAGTTATAAGTTTGACGATGTCAAGTTAATATTCTGTTGAAGTTGACATGCACGTCTAGTTCGTTGTGATGATGAAGGATACACTAGAGTAGTAGTATTGTAGACCGTAGTGTGTATTGTGCTTTCCCCTTGTACTCCTTGTTGATTATCTAGTGGATTGGGCTGACGTGAGTTGCCCCGCAGACGTAGGAGTATGGCTCCAAACTGCGTTAACATGTCTTGGTGTCTGGTTCCATTTATATTTCTTGCTCTAGTTCTTTATCTGTTTTGGTGTAGATTCTATAGCTAATCCAAATTATCAATCGAACGTAAAATTGAGTAGGAACCATTAGGATTTATCTTGCATTCAAGATCCACAATTTTTTTCAAAGTCGATTAGTTATGGGTAAACTGATTACTTCCTTTGTGGTCCATTGTCAATTAGGGGTCACGATGCGTGATTTACCTAGTGCACATGAACAATCAGATGGTAGCTGTTAATTTTCACCGTCACTCAAAAAATAAAAATAAAAAAGGAATAGCGTTTGAGTTGTCCAAAAGTGATTACCAGGTGAATAGAGTATATATATAAAAAAAATTATAAGTTTATTTTTACCCGCATTCTTTTAGTGTGATGTTTATTTTTTTTTTTTTTTTAACTTCTCCCTATAAGTGCACGTATTTTTTGTTTTTTAATAGAGTATTGTAAAGAACAAAAGGTGTGTAGATAATGATGTGATGGATGAACTTTGATGAAACTTGCATTGCAATAGGGCATGCTGCGGTGGATTGCGTTGGGGGCATGGAGATTCATTGCGGGGGCAAAATAGTCAATGTGACCTACACTAATGAGATTACCTTATTTTTTTTCTTTATATATATATATATATATATATATAACTTGGTTTTTGAATTTTTTGATTTAATTTCACCAGACTATATACTGACCTCATAAATTCATGCACCATCAGACCCATAAGAAAATAAATTGAGTCAATCTAGTTTTGAAACTTAACATTAAATTGTACACTTATGCGCACAGAGAGCCCAATTCAAAGTAAACATCTAATGTTTGTGCTAATAATCAAACCCTACTATATCACCAGAAGCAAGTTTTAAGTGAAATTTCTCATCCATTAGACTAATGTCTTGGGTACAGGATTACAAATTACAGTATTATGTTGATTCCATATATATTATCCTTTTTTGATACTCTATATTACTCCGTACAATCCATCAATACTAAACCTGGTTATAAAGTTGTCAAAACAAGTGAGTTAATCCGTCCTGCCATATAATGCAAATAATGTAAGTTGAAATTTTAGAGGTCGGCTACACACACACCTAATAGATAGCTTCAGGTGAGAACCATGTTTGCTATGAGAATCACGAATGTGCAATGAGTATCAAGTATTAGTGAAACTTCTAATATGTAATGTACACTAAAAATTGAAATTTTAAAAATGTATCGGGTGCGTAACAACTACAAGTGCAATCGCTAATATGTAACAATACATTGCACCATTACATATTAACGATTAGACCGGTAGTTAATGCAAGATGAACTTTAAGTTTAAAATCGTTATCAAAATGTCACTGCATTTTTTACCTTACTTTACCGTCATTGATCATCCAAATCAATGGCTAGAATTGGTTTGTAATTTTTACCTGAACAACAGTATTTATTATAATGACTACCAGTATAATCTATGGTGATATATGTTTAATTATAATTAAGAAAATACTATATTTATACTCTGTAATTATCAATATCAATACAGATCAATATTGTAAAAAATCATAACATTTATAATCAATTTCGTGTCATTTGTATTACTAATTAAATTAACTAAGAAATATTTATTGCACATTCATGTAAGTCTGTTACATTTATGTTATACAGTAATAATCAAATAATTATATCAAATTAACTAAGAAATATGTATCGAACATTTAAAGATTGTATGTGAATTAATTATAATCAAATATTTTAAATTTAATAATTTCATATCTAATTTAATCTCAATATTTCATATTGGTTGTGAAATTGTAACAATTTCTTAATATGGTTCAACAAAATCCAACTCAACTTTCAACTGAGTTATATCCAAGTGATTAATAATATGAACAAGTTAATCAAGTAGACAAGAAATAGAGTTCAATCCTTTTAATGACAATCTATAAAATAACATTTACAATTTACTCTAATAATTAAATTTAGGCACAATCTCAAACTAACCAAGCTATAAATCCGTAAAACTCATTGTTATATTGTCAGAATCCCGTTATTGTCTAGTCAGCACAATGAGTATTTTGTCATAAAAAATACAATTATCGATCTAACGAGGAGCCCACTGTTTTCTAGCCGATACAATGAGTATTTTAATATCGAACACTGTTATCTAATCATAAACACGTTGTTATCTAGTCAGCACAATGAGTATTTCACCATAAAAGACACAATTATCTAACGAGGAACCCGTTATTTCTAGTTGGCACAATGAGTATTTTAATATGGAACACTGTTATCTAATCAGAAACACGTTGTTATCTAGTCAGCACAACGAGTATTTCACCATAAAAGACACAATTATCTAGCGAGGAACCCGTTGTTTTCTAGTTGGCACAATGAATATTTTAATATCGAACACTGTTATCTAATCAGAAACACGCTGTTATCTAGTCAGCACAACGAGTATTTTATGATATCACCGTAAATTTCGCAGGTGAACCGGAATAGTTTAACCCGGACGAAGGCCGCAGCTGGTTTTGCTTTACTGACTTGCATGGGCCAGCTTGCTTAACTAACACAATGTAACCGCTGTCGTCCTACTTTTACCATTTTACCCCTCACCCCTCCGCTTTATATACCAACCTCCCCTCTCTCTTCTCAACCCAGCCTAAAACCCCTCTGTTCTCTCTCTCTCTCTTCTCTCATCTCCTCTGTTCGATCGCCATGGCTAAAGGTGGAAAGCTCACGAAGCTCAAATCCGTACTGAAGAAAATGCAGTCCTTCAAGCTCGGCCGCGGCAACGGAAGCTCCGTCGTGGCCGCCGCCGCCACCGCCTCTTCCGACGACGAGTCTAGCAATAACAATAACAACAGCTACGCCAAGGATCTCCGCCCGGTCTACGTCGGGAAATCTCGCCGCCGGTACCTCGTCAGCTCGAGCGTCATCGAACATCCGCTGGTCCGCGAGCTGGTGGACCGCTCCGGCGACGACGCGGACAATTCCGTCACCGTCGTCGGCTGCGAAGTCGTGCTGTTCGAGCACCTGCTGTGGATGTTGGAGAATGCGGATCCCCAGCCGGAATCTCTGGATGAGTTGGTGGATTTCTATGCGTGTTGAGCGGCGATTGGGCCGGGCCGGCTTGTAACCGTCGTCAAGTGGCGGAGGAGGCGGATTCCCATGTTCTCGGCTCTATTGTTCTTATGGTATATAATCAGTTTGTAAATTTTTCTTCTCCAAAAAAAAGTTTAATGATTTGCGTATTCGTAGCGTAGAAAATCGAAGCAGAAATAGTGAGAAAAATGGAAGAGAGCGAATTTGGCTGATCGGCAGTATGTTTCAGACTTTCAGTTCGCCGGCCGGCCGGCTGGGTTCGTGGCAAGGGTTAACCCATTTTTAAACATTTAATCTCTTGATTATAAGAGAATTTAGTAATGTGGGTAATTATATTATCTTAATCAAGGCTGTCCCTTTTGTTTCTTGTAATTCCATTCGTCAATGTAAGTGTTAATTTTCATCATAATGTTTAAGGGCATTCTTGTTTTTTTCTTTAATTTTCTTCTTCTTAGTGTGTTTTTTTTTTTTTTTTTTTTTTTTTTTTTTTTTTTTTCTTTTTAAGCAACTGAACTTATAACTTTTGTGCAATAAGACAAGTGAAATTCAAATATGTATAATTAAGCCATTAAGCAAGTAAAATATGTGTAATTTGACATTTTTAATTTTTTTTTTCTTTGGGTACAATTTGAGTATAAAATATTTCAGTCTTTCCTCCTAACTAATACACTGTGTAATACTCGATTATTCAATTACACACATTTTAAGTTCATGACCTAATTGCACAAAAGATATAAGCAAGTTTTTTTTTTTTGAATGCAAATATAAGCAAGTTAAGTTATTTATTTCACACTTTTTCATTTGATTATTTCAAATAAAGTGTTTGTTTCGAGCCACTTATCACCTTATTTCTTACTTTCTGGCCGGTTTGTAATTAGTTTCAAATATCAATTTTTCTTCTATTTAATCAATACAAATTGAGAGACATAACTAAATAAGTTGGAATTCTCATGAAATAGAATTCACATTTCGTCTCTTGAATGTCTGTGGCCTTCCTCATTATATTTTGTCAGACCATGAGGTGTCCTGAGCAAGTTCTAACTGTAAGAGACACCTTTAAGCCCGTATCATATTCAGACTAATTCCCATTTAAGAATAATGTTACATATATCAAATGTTGTCATTAAATGTTATGTTAAATGACGTGGATTAATATAATTACAATTTAAGTAATTTTGTGCAAATGAAAAATAGTACTAAACATTCTTTATTTAAATTATTATGGGGTATGAGATGGTTGGAAGGAGGGCCCAAAGTTGTGGTCAGCAGAAGACGACCAAGGGCAAGGAGATATTTGTCTGAATGTTAACCATGCATCCGATAGTAACATAAAATATAGTATTTTGTTGTTGTGTGATAGGTATGATTCCTTTTAAGTAATGAATATGTTATTTCTACAAAAGGTTAGACCCAACTCTAAGGGATTTTTCACCGCTTCATCTCTAAAATCTTGTGGAAGAGGCCAGGTAAATAACAGAACGTGTCTTAGGGTGTGTTTGAAAACTCGAAAATTAATTTTTGGATTTTCAGTGTTTGGATGTGCCTGAAAAATTGAGTTAATAGAAGTCATTTTCCACACACCTCACAATCGTCTCTGACCTTGGTTTCCGGCTGAAACCCAGAGCTGCCGGAAACCAGACCCTTTGATTTTCGCAACGGAAATCAGAGCAGCTCTGGTTATCGACGGGAACCCGCCGAAAACCATAGTTTTTTATATAAATTAATTTTAATAAATAACATTATTTTTAATATTACTATAAATATTTTTATATTCTAAATAAAACAATTAAAATGTTTAATTATACAATTCTACCCATTTTTCAGAAAATGAACAAAACACACCAAGTGTCGAGTCTCACCAGTGGCAGTGTGGGAGCAACCTCTCAAAGTGAGAGGGGCTCCTTGTGCGCAGTGAGCAAATGTCTAGTCTCTATGGTTTATGTTCAGTTAAGTTACCATGATTTACATCCTCCCAGATGCCCTGTCGGGCCGAGGTATAGAGAGCCCTTAGGGTTGGGGTTCAACCTTTTGGAAAGAATAAAACTATTTTCTGAAAAATATGATTTGTTTTCCAGAAAACATACATTTTCCAAAAATTATTTTCTCAATTTACAAACATACCTCTTAGTGAAATTGAGTGAAACTCATGCTATATATGTAGGATTGTAGGTGTCAACATTGCTGAAACTTATCTTACTTTGTCATTTGCACGGTTGAGCTGACATGGAAGTGTTATGGTATTTTATTTATTTTTTTTGAAGAATGTAATAGAAATTTTTTAGAAGAAGTTCAACTTTCATGAATGATTTGAATAAGTCACAACAAGGAAACAGTTAATTACCTACTAAATGTATATAGCTTAAATACTTGCGTAAATAATTCATTGATTTACTTATGGAAATTAAATCAGTTACTAAATTCAATATCTATAGATTTCATTGGTTTATGTATGAATTTTTTTGTTGGTAAATTTAATATTTCTTGTAGTGAATTAACACTATAACAAATTAAACACAAATGTAATAACCTACTTGTTACTTGTGTGAGATTTAAAGAAGTTTGGGGTAAGAGATTTAAAGAAGTATAATTTCATCCGCATTTGTAAGTAATTTGAACCTTGAACTTAAGATTAAATTTAAACTTTTTTTTTTTTTTTTTTTTTTGTCATTAGTGGATTTGAACCTATACCATGCATGCACCATGTATTTGCCAACAAAGCAGAACTTATAAATTTATTTTGGATTGATTAACTAGTTGAGATGTGTCTGACAGACTCTCATTCGCATTTGTGAATCTATTGATGTATGGTGATATACGTTGGGTTTAAAATATTTATGCATAATTATATTGAGCAACTCTGATCTAAATTATAATTCATTGTTTCAATTAAAAGAAAAGTGAATAACCAAATATACTAAAAAAAATACAAAGAAGTTAAATAAGAATTGTATTTTATTGTCGCTTGATATTTGTTTGCATTTGAACTTTGCTAGAAAATCTTCTGTTTCCTACTACTTAAAAAGCGAACAAAAATTTCTGATAACTTGTATTGTGTTGGTTGCCAGTGTTATTGATAAGAATTATTTTGGGTCTTCAAATTAAGCGGCCGAGAAATTGGTCAGCAACTCAATATCTAACCACAAACTTTAAATTCCTGACCACTTTTTAATGATCAAAAATCCTATTTTTTTTAGTAGTCATATGTAGCTAATTAGTATTTTCTGGATCATCAACATCTATATGGCAATAATCAAATGTCAAATAATTAATATTAGGTTTGTTTTTAAATCAACTAATGAAATGGCATTTAATTTGTTTAATTAGCTAAAACAAAAGGAAACTTGAGAAGGAAGGCAAGGCTAGAATTGAAGAAGCTAGACAAATTAAAGAAGATATATAATTGCAGCAGAAAGAATATAATGTTAAATCACAATAAGTTGTGGGTTGATAATGATACATGGACATCATTGTCCTCCCCATTTGGTCACATAAATTAAATTAGCATTCCTTCTTATTAGATGCATGCTGCTAGCTACCTAAGCTACCTTAACCATTATTATCACACAACTCCATTCCTATCTAACTTCTTGTGAACCCACCCACCCTTATACTTAACTGGATCCAACTAGCTTCTAAATATATACATTGCATGCACCATATATATTCATTCTATAATCAATTATTACAAGTGGCCTATCTTCTTCCACACCTACTTAATTGCAATGCAATCACACCTACTTCTATTTTTTTTTTTCTTAATATGATTTTTACGGTACATTACTGCATAAGAACTTAGACAAAATTAGGCGGGCAGAATCACAATACAACGAGTTAACCTGAGTATAGGCTTATGAAGCTAACATACGTGTGAGCTAGCATGCATATTAACATTTCTAAGAACTACAGAGACAGAGCAAACAGAAAAGTGACACATAATATTCCTACAATCATTATTAGTGATTCTAACATATGACCAGAGCTCAATTGTGAGAGCCATTAAATTGCGATATAGATTGAGAAGAGCAGTCAGTGTGTAGATGAACTATAGTTATCCCGTGACCCTTCAACCATGATAAGGCCTTGCATGTTAAGGTTTCTGCCATGACTGGTTACACATTTTTTTCTTAATATGGTATTTAATTTAAGTAAATTAATGAAATGGTTCATCGCTTATACTGGTTTCACCACTTTAGTTCTTGCATTTTAATTTTATTCAATAATTAGGGACGAAATCATTAACTTTCAGTAGGAGTCTAAAACTATTATTTATAGTTAGCGCTATCCAAGTGCGGTGTGCCAATATTCAATAATGTTTTTTATTGTCAAAATTGTATCTTTTTAAAGTTCTCCAGGAAACTAAAATATATAAAAATTTGGACGAAACAATACCTTCAAAGGACTAATTAAATATGTACATATTTAATAGTTAATGTGCATGGTGAAATCACTATGTATAATCGATGAACCATTTTGGTAATTTAATTAATTTTAAATGTAATTTGTTCAAAATAAGTATAATTAGGTAAATTGGTTTTATATGTTTCGTATTTAATGTTCAATTAACAAAATTTTTAACCGAGTAAGTGTAATTTCATCCAATGACAGTTCAAACTTAAATGTCTAACTTCTGCCTCCAAATGCTTGTACAATAATGTCACAACAAGGCAAAATTCATTCCTTCCTCTTTTTTTTTTCTTTTTTTTTTTTAGGTAATTGGTAGAATTATATTCAAACTCGTGGCTACTAATAAAACAAACCTTATAATTTATCCTGAATTGATTAACCAGTCAGCAGTATCTTGAGACCTTTATAAAATTTTATATTATTACAAAATGGTGTTTGGTGACCAGCTCGGCGTCACACACACACACAAGCATTTATTTAGAACCCCACTTTGCTAATTAATCATCATTGGTGTAATTAACAAGTACTAATAGCGCTGTGTGCATGCTATACATCATGGTACGGTACGGGGTATGCCTTGTTTTTTTGTGTTCTTAAAGCATAGATTATTAGGTGTTTTTTCATGAGTTTAAGGATTGATGCTTTGCAATAAGTATGTAAGAAGGTATCGCACTGGCAGTACCTTGTGGATTATTTTTGTGTCGTAGAAGTTTTATAACATATGATCCAAACAAAAGAAAATGTACACTTTTCATTATTCAAGCCAGGAATAAATTGAGGGATTACAATTTTTGCCCTTCTTTTTGTGTGACAGTAAACCACCAGTTAATAGTGGTTGGGTTAGGCAAATCGGCACATATTTATATTAGTACACGGAAAAGAGGTAATATTCAAAATGATCTCTCAACTTAATCATAATTTTAATATTAGTTTTTAATTGTTTATTCATCCAACACCATTTAGTCATCATTTTCATATTAGTCTTTTAACTGCTAATTCACCCAACACAATTTAGTCATCGCATTTGTTTGGTTAT